GACTAAAAATGTTTGTTTTTCTGTCCCCCCCCCCCCCCCCGCCACAATAATGTTTGAAAGCTCTATACAAATTATAAATGGATAATTTTTTAATCCGTCTATTTGATTCCGCTATCTATTTGTCTCAGATTATGCGTGTCTAAAAAGATAAGAAGTTATTAAAAATTCAAACGGAGAATAAAAGTAGCGTATTCAGCATTATAATTGTAGCGCGATTATTTTATTTTTAAATTTATAGATAAAATAGAATGATACGCATTTTTACCACGTTTTAAATAAGAATTATACGTCGTCGACGTTGAAAAAACGACGCGTATTCAATTATATATAGAGTTTAAGAACTCTATTCTCACGAGTTTGTAAACATTATAATCAAGTCGCGATTATAGCCCCGAGCCATACAAATAGCCTATACAAATTGCTCGATACTTGCTTTCGATTGGATTTAACGAGTCCGTGTCGAGACCATGAAACGACATTATTTTAAAAATGTTCTACATTCTCGCATACTTAAAAAGCCCATCTACAATCACACGTATATTTGTATTTCAAGAAAATCGTTAAATAAGGAGACGGCGACGGCTACTATGACATATGTAACTCGAGGCACTTATCCCCAGTCTAATCCGATCGACAGCTATCGACACTTCAAAGACATTTGAAGTCCCAGATAAGAGATATATCGGGGCACTCCACTTGTAAGAGGGACAATATCGTACGATAAGAAAGGAATGACGAGCGTTGGTTGAAATAGCGCCGTCGCGGAAAGGTAAATACTTCCGACAATCGATGACTCGTCTAATATCTTACGGCTGCCGATCCCGTCTCTCTTTATTTAATGCTTATCCCCTCGGTCCGTGTAATCGCCATTGGCGATCAAGAATCAGTTCCGGCGGCGCACATCCTCAGTGAAAAGCCACGGAAAGTCCGTCGACACTCACCGCGACTCCTCCCCTCGCTACTAATCTCGCGCGCTCGTTTCCAGTCCAAGGCTGCGTTCATTAGGACGAGGGGCCGGGAGGGGGAGGGCGTCGAGGATCGGGGGCAATTCGTTGGGACCGTACACGAGAATACGCGCACTTTCTATCCGAGGCGCGTCAGGTGTGCGCAACTCGCCAAATTCTCGCGAAGTTTCGCGGCGTGCATTTGCATCACGGACGAGCGTAATTACGCGATCGACTGACTGACTATCTGGCAAGGCTGCCGACTCTTGCGATTTTCATCTGCTCTCGTAATTGATTCGCGGATTGAGTTACGACGAGACTCGGCAAATTACGCTCCGAGTCTGTAGGCAGGAAGGAAGGAAGGAAGGAAGGAAGAGGAAGAGGAAGGAAGGAAGGAAGTGCATCTGCATCGGCAATGTGGCGAGCGAATCGTTCTTACAGCGTTACGGGATTTTGCCACTTTTCAACTAATCGTCATCGCGATCTATGAGACATTCTAAAATGGCGACTGCAGTGGTCGCGTTAAAAATGTAAGGAACTCGTGGTAGTCGTGTCCGATCGATCGGCTGGACTACTACCGGTCGTTAATACGTCACGGGCAGCTGTAAAAGATTTCAAGCGACAATTGGTTGTGCCGTGTAGGAGCGCAGTGCCCGGGGTAATTTGCATACAATGACGAGTGGCTGCTTCCAAGGGGTCAAACGGAGTTGTAGGACACACGCACCCGCGCATATTCATCGGTATTGTCACTGGTATACGATAAATGAGGGTTAGATAGGGTAGCGTTGCGCTGGTGACGGGGACGGGGAGAGGGAGATACAAAAAAAAAACAAAAAAAGCTGCATTGTTAAATAGGCGTACGAGATAATGAGTCATGTACTTGACAGAGAAAGATTTTTAAAATAACGTTGGCGCGTTATTGTGAACAATAGATGCAACGAAATTTGCGCTCGCGATGAATTGACATAGAGGTAGAAATAGATGATAGATAGATAGATAGATAGAGTGGGATTAGAGAGAGAGAGAGAGAGAGAGAGAGAGAGAGAGAGAGAGAGAGAGAGAGAGAGAGAGAGAGTGAGTGAGAGTGAGTGTGTGCGTGCGTGCGTGCGTGCGTGCGTGCGCGTGTGTGACTAGTGTTTAGCGGGGGTTGACGTCACAACAAAATAGACAGAATAATTGCCTGGTTTTAATTTGCCTAAGTGACTTTCGAATTCGACTATGCTTTAAGATAAAAATACGACAAAAATCAGCGATCAATTATTTTATATGCATTGTCATAGGAATGGATAATTTGGCAAAAGCAAATCAATGGTTTAGTATTGGAAATCGTAAAAATGTTCATCAATACACTAGCAATGACAATTGTACGAAGGAACAAATTGGAAAAAAAAAAATAAATAAATAAATAAATAAATAAATAAATACTGATAGATAATTTGATGATGGCTACTAAGAATTGTATTGCTGTCATATAATACGCCATTTCGAAAGTGTGTCATCATATTGACTATAAACTTCTTGGAAGCGAGATTTTTTTTTACCGTAACTCCACTCCTATTTTAAAGCGGATTAGAGTGAAAATTTCATTGTGAAACATTGATAATAAATTTGTCGCAAGAACGTTATAAATATATTGTTTTTCAAATTGGAAGGGAAAGTGACCCGTGGATTTTATTAGTACTTATTAGCACGTGTACATATACATTTATTATTTACATTTATAGTTTATAAAGCGATTTAGAAAGCAAAATATAATTAACGAGCCGAATGGATTTCTAATGTGATGATAGTAGCCTTTAAGGACAGTCTAGCGATCTTCTAACAAGAATATAAAAACAAAAAACAACCGACGAAATCAAATGACGAGATTTTTTTTGCGTACCTGTAAAATGTTGAGTCATTACGTTGTAGTGCAGAGAAGTATATTACATTTTATACGTACTCGTAGCAGCAAAGTATATAATTGAGGTCAACTCACGAAATTTCTTCGCCTGACACTACTACATACTCGAATGATTTCGAAGTCTCCCTACCGCCTTCTCTCCCTCTCTCCCCCCTCTCCCTCTTTCGGGCGTTGGACGTGTAGTTATAAAATCAAATGCGCTTGGTTTACTAGCCTAGCCAGAGCGGCTGCTGCTATTTACCAATCACTCGAATCGCCAGTTTTGTAGTTAAATTTTTATAGGGTTTTTATTTTTTACGGTTTTTATTCGAAGCATTCGAAATTTTCAAATGGATCAACAATGTGAATTCGAAATCCTACATTTTCAAGCAAGCTTTCCAATATTTAAATTTTAAATACTTTTATTCACAGTTAGTGAACCCCACTCGTCGGTGTCTGTCTGTCTGTCTGTCTGTCTGTCTGTCTGTCCCGTCGTTTGAAATTTATTAAAAATGAAAAATAAACGAGACGCCGTTATAAGCAATGAAGAGAGTTCTCGGTACAAATATCAAATCTCATATTTTGCAAAATGATTGTTCGAAATTTTCTATATAAATATGCACATTATATTTCTCATGGTTCGAAAGAAAATTAAATCATTTCCATTTGTAAATAAACAAAAAAAAAAAAAAAAAAAAAAAAAAAAACAAAAAAAAATTAAAATAAAATAAAATAAAAAAAAAGTGTTCGTTAGCTTCCATTATGACAGTTTAAGGAAAAAACGTAGTTTGAATTTTCATTATTTCATTATTACTTGTATAAATAAAGAAACGCTGTGATATTAGTTAGACTTGACTCATGTAAATGATTCCGAGTTTAATTAGTTATAGCACGTACATAATTGATTATATCTTTTTTATTAAATCATATACATTAGATTTTTTTTTTGTGTCATGAGATAAATTTCCTGTTGAGCTGGATTTTTTTTTTCCTCCTCTATTAATAATTTTAGGCATAATTATCGATGCTCCATAAGTATAGTGTAACATTATACGCGTTTGATAGCTTTTAGCTTAAAGATGAGACACGCGATGACGACGATTCATTCGTATGTCATCGGTGGGTTTTTTCTTTCTTTCATACGCGTTAGCTTCTTTTAGCATAATTACGCGATATATTCACGCAAGGAAACTAGGGGGAATTTTGCAATGTCATAATTGTTGAATTTTACGATTTCTACACCTAGTACGTACGTGAATGTCACGCTCAATTATCAAAGGCAATCGTTATCGTTGAATGCCTTCGATTTCGATGGCAAACTTCTTTATCTCTTAATATTCGAGTCCTGTTCTCAAATTGACTAAAATTGTATTACTTGTCTATAACCTTAATATTTCCGTAATTGTTTGTGTCTTTAGCCATAATGGCTTACAAATGGCCTCCAATTTGTAACATTCCTAAGATGTGCTGTAATTAAGAAGAGACTTTGGCAATTTTCATCCAACATTTATCCCACGTACGCCCAATGTTACGTGCATTATACATATATTTTAATAAAGTCTTTGGATTCTTAGTTTAATTTTATTTACATCAATTTTGATATTTTTTCAACGTTCTTTTGACAGATAATGCTAAAAGAAAGAAAGAAAAAAAATCATTAAAGAGACCACGTTATATTTATATATTATTATAAGTATTTAAAGTGCGCCGTCGTATCTTCTATCATTCAGTTAGAAAACTATGCATTTTCCAATTTTATTTTCTTGAGAATGTAAAAAAAACTTTAACGAATTATGATTATAATCTATTGATGTTAGCCGAAGATTTACATAATTGGGAATGTCATGAATGTATAATTAAAATATCCTAATGTATATGTAAAATTTTGTTATTTCCTAACGAAACTTTAAACTTTGATCTGTTAGTATTTATTAGATTATAAATAAAAATTTCTTCGATCTTTCAGTAGGGAAGCGTACAATTTATACAATTTATACAATTTATACACCAATAATTATATTTCATATAAATGTAGATATTAAGCAATTTCCGCGCCACCGACATTGCCTTGAAATTATTAACTACGTCATATTGTATACAAATTTCCCCACCCACTATCCAAAAAATTATATCGAAGAAAATGTTTTAACGTGGTTGTAACCGCCCTTTTTCAGATGCAGCTTGCGCCGAATCGCTAGGCACGAGGAGTCCGAGTTCAGTAACGCCAGCATCCTGAACAGTATGGAGAAATTCGTGCGTACCGTGAACGAGATGGAGGAGACGATTCTCGTGCCAAGCCGTCTACTGGACTTGGCGGTCGGCGATGACACGGATACCATCTCCGAGAAAGCCGACAAGCATGGCTGTAACAGCATCAAAGACAGTCTCTGTAACACCGACCTCTATCGACTCTATAACATCGTCAATCAGATGAAGGTCGAACTTCTCTGGTCTCAAGAGAATCCCACCGAGTTTCTTGCGGATGAGCTACAGGTGGATTATTTGTTTATAATAATCATAAGGACTTGGTAGTTTCTCAATCGATCGTCGCGAATTCTTGTTGGAACAGCGTTGACTCGTAACAACTATAACGTCAATACACTTTATGAAATCCCCTTTCTTTTTATACGTTTATTTATTTATTTATTTATTTTTTAACGCGTGCGCACTATAATTTCATTTTAACTATGCACGTGACAAGCAACTAGCGGTCTCATTAGTTGCTGTTATTTTCTTATTAAAAAGGTGAAAAAGAGCTTTCGTGGAGAGTGATAATGGAAAATAATCGTAATTTTCCAATTGTCATCGGATAAATCTTACTGTTTTGTTGTCATGCAACTACGTGCACGTAGCACAAAGTTCTCGACTATCTATGGGAAAAGAGGGGAGGGAACGGGAAATATCATAACGTTACATTGTAATAACATAAGGTCACTTTGTATTTTGCGTAGGAACAGGAGCCTCAGCGCGCCAAGGTTCAGGTCGCGGCGATGGAACACGCGCGCCTCGGTCATGCGAGGTGCCCCTCGACGACTTCGATGCAAAGCCTCCAGTCGGCTTCGTCGTTGGTCTTGAGCAGCTCCGCCTCGGATTCGGATTCGGACACCGGTATCGAGAATGACTCTGGTCTCGAGAGCGAGGAGCCCAGTGACCGGCTTGCCAACCTCGCTGCCGAGAACTTCAGACGCCACTTACGTGGTTTGCATCGCAGCATCAGTCACATGACCGAGGCCGCGGAATATCTCACCCTCAGATATCAGGCGGACGTCGGGGGGCAGGTTTGATAGCGCGGCCCTGGCGAGGGCTCGCGTCATCATCGTACCTTATCATTTCACTTCTTTCACTTCGCTGCGACGAAAGCCATTGACGGACGAGACACTGTCCGTCGCCGTCAGCCCATCCATTTGTTGAAGCTACCAAGCGATCGGAAAGCGACCTAGAGGACGAATGCCAACGAATTGACGCTCCTCTCCTCATCATCCTCTTGCTCCTCCTTCTCGTTCGACCATGATCGTGCTCGCCACGTCTTGGCCGCGTCCCTTTTATCTTTATTTTAATTTGTTCTTCGTGTCTTTTTATGCGACCCCCCTCCCCCAACATCGTTGCTCTTATGCACATATGCAAAACCCCTCTCCCCCCCTCTCTCTCTATTTTACATCCTTACAAACCCTTTTCTGCGTTACCACTCTCTTCGTTTTTGTCTTTCTAGTTCACTTTTGGTCGTTGGTGATAAACCGTTGCTAATAGGACAGTCGACGTTCTCAATCTTGTACTGCCACCTTGACGATTCTAAGGAATGAACCTATTTTTGCCTTGGATTAACGACCGTCGAAATTTTTCAAATCCGCCATTGGAGCTCGATAATGCGCCATTCGTTAAGTTTCGATGCGTTCGACGATTCATTTGTTAAATTGGCCGATTTATAATTGAATTTAATAAATTGTTAATCGTTCCGATGTTTATTAGCGTATGTTTTTATTGTTCATTCAAGAAATATAGGAGCTTAATTAATTGAACAAATTTTAAAATATAAAAGCGATATTTTTAACGGTAATTTTCTCTTTAATTTTAATTTATATACACACACACACACACACACACACACACACACACGATTGATTGGCATACAAATTATAGTTGGAGCTATATTTTTATGTTAGTATACTAATACATTTAATTTCAATGTTACAAATTTTATTAAAATGGTTAGTAAAGGAGAAATTAATTAATGTTAAATGTGACTGGATATTAAAAGAAATTTGTTGTAAATATTTGTGCGCCCGCCAATCATCGATTTAATAAATGGCTAATGAAGAATTTTGTTGATAGGAGATTCATTTGTTTGAAATTTGTTTAAAATTTATTGTAAATTTTATCAGATTTCGTCAAAATATTTTATTTTAAAAGAACAAAATGTACAAAAAGAAAAAAAAAATGTGTACAACAAGATATAAAGTTGTACTTTTTCTAAACATTAATTGGGATGTTAAAAATTTTTTCCGTTTACTAATCCCTTACTAATATTTAGTTCGTTATAAATGGAAAAATGTTTAGGCCTCGAAATTCAAGTGTGAAGGAACAACGTGCACAACATTATTTTCGAATTTTGTATAATTAGCAGTAAATTTTATTTTGCATTTCTTTGCAATTTTGAAATCTCGAAAGAATTATTATCGGTTATTATGAGATGTAAATGATCAATCATTCATGTATGGAAATTTCACAATTACCATTCGATCATAACAATAGGATGGATGGCAAAACAAGTTCATAATTTTTGCAAACTTGATAAAATATTTCACTCGAGATGAAGCGTTGTACAATTTGGTAATTATTATAAAGATAAAGAATAGGGAAGGATGACAACAACAACAAAAATAAATAAAAAAAAATTTAAAAAAAAAAAAATTAAAAATAGAAACGGAAGCGAAATAAAAGGAGTGAAATGTTTATGCTATGTTTATATGATAATAAAGTAGAAAAGCGCTTTTTAAAATTAAACTTGGGAAGAGATTTAGAAAAGAAAAGAAATATATATATATAATATGTACATCTCTGTAATTGTATATGTATGCACGCATGCATGCGTGCGTGAATGCATGCGAACAAATATAAATTATATACGCGAGTGAGAATAAAATAGTAAAATGCAGAGTTAACGAGAAAAACAAAGTATAAAAAATAAAATTATGAAATGATTCATTAGTTTCATTGTTGCTTCGTAAGCACATATATGTATATAAGAAATAAGTACGAGCGAGAATTTTTTCGTTTAATTAGTAAACAATCTTAAGGAAGCAACAGTTTATAGAGAAAAAAATAAAAATAAAAATAGGTTCTTTGACATTTTATTCCAAGATTTTCCTTTAGTTTCTTTCTATTCATATATGTGTGCGAAATATACATTTAAGACGAGAATTTCTCTTGAAGGCTTATGCAAGCTGGGGGCTAATAAATTAGTTGATCCAGCGGGATCAAACGTCGGTCAATTAATTCCTCGCAGGGATGATGTAATTGGGGATTTAATGTTCTGTACATAGAGTTGGTCTCCGTTATTATTTATTATGTTTCTCGTTATTTTCTACTTTTAAATGCAAGTGTAATTTATATATATAAGCCGAAAAAGCTATTCCTTTGCGATGCAAAACTTGCGTGTATCGTAATTTTTTGTATGGAAATAAAACATAAATAAAGAAGTTTAATTATCCCTGAATGGTATTTATTGGTAGTTTACTGTAATCGTACACTTTAAAATTTCTTTATATATTCCAATTACCAATTATATTAACTACGAATTTGACGATCAAATGGAATATAAACATTACATCACATACAATTGCTGATATAACTGCAAATCCAGACAATACAAAATAAAGGTATTTTTTCGTTATTATTTTTATTTTCATATATAAAAATGCAATTTTTTTTATCATTTCTGTACTTATATAGAGTGTCTATATGTATTTCATATACACGTTAAATATGTAAATATTGATATATTATTAATAAATGTAAAGTAATAAAAAATGTAGCTTACACGTCGTAAATGTTCTATTTCAAAATAAAATTATTTTCAATTCATAAAAATCACATTATTACATATATCGAAATTAATTTATTATAAAATGAAATATCTAAAAAATGAAAATTCTTCGTTAGATACAAAAAATTAGAAACGAATCAATTTAGTGTAAATTTTATTTAAACTTGAATACAAAAAACAACATTAGGTTTCATCTTCATGAAATCGTATTTAGTTTCTAATATAAATATAATTATATTTCTTTAGTTTAATAATGAAAAAATATATGAAATGAATTAGTCAAAGTAGATGAAAAAAAAAAAATAAATAAATAAATAAAATTAAATCCAATCATGCGAATATTTTTTGCAAAATTTTTGAGCCAATTTTCTTTCATTTAACTAAAGTTGAAAATTTTTGAACAGTGAAATTCAACTGCTAATTTTAAATCTGATAACTAGAAAAATATATTTACAGATAAACAAGAAGGATATTTGAAAGATTTTACTGTAATTTTTTTTAACATAATTACACACACACACACACACACACGATGATAAGTTTTAATTCATTTCATGTATAAAACAATTGAAATAATTCCTTTATACTTTTAACCGTAATATCCGTCTATTTGAAACTTTTAATTTATTATATATAAAAAATTTCTGAGGTCTTAAACGATTATTTGTATAATTAACTTTATATTAACACGTAAGTCACATGTTCTAAAAATAGTTTAGACAAATTTTTATCGCGAAAACTTAGGTATTAAAGCGTTTTTAATTTCATTATGCTATTAGTAAGTTGTACTATACAATTAATTACAACTAATGTACTAAATAATGTACTATACAAATATACAAAAAAATTTCATTATATTATTAGTAATAGTCCATGAAATCCGTATAACAATTAAATTCAATTCTATAATAATCTCATGATAATTACGTCTTTATTTACAATTATATTACGAGCAAAAAATCATTGACATTAATTTTCTATTTGATGATGAGTCGTATGGTTTTTATGAAAATCAATATTTTATAATTTTGTAAGAAAAAGTGATTAAATTCCAAATTATAAAACGTCATTATTGAAAAACGGTATTTTTATTTCCTATATAATATTCATATAAAAAAAAACAATTTAAAAATTTGTTGTTTCATGAAAGCATATCGTACAATGTTCGTTATAAAATATATTTAAACGTTTTAAATATGTTATAAATTGCTTACAAAAATTCTTAATAATATATAAAATTTCAAAGCGTATAAGTTTAATCAGTACAATGTGAAAATAGTTTTTTTTGTTTTTGTTTTTGTTTGGATTTCTTTTCTTTTGTTTTGACACACCTGTAAAAAAATGATACAACAATTATAATAATTATATTATTATCAGCTAATATCGATAGCTGTTATAAGTTCTCTGATATTGGCGTACTCCGGATCACTGCTGAAAATATCGAGCAATTCTTGAAAAGTAGGGCGATCTGATGGAGAATATGACCAACATTTTTGCATAACTTGATATACATGATTTGGACATTTTTCTGGCTGATTGAGTCTTTCACCCTTTTCAACGAGATCTATCACCTATTAACGACAAAAGCAATTAACATACAATAATATTTAAAAATATATACATAAAATTGAGATTTAAATTATTACTAATTTATTACACATAAAATAAGAATAAGAGAAATTGCGTAAGAATGTTATTTTGTTTAAATATGCATTATAAATTAGATATTATGGTATATTTACTTCTGTACCACGCCTACTTCCATATGGCTGCTCTCCGTAAGAAAACATTTCCCACAATGTTATTCCGTAGCTCCACACATCACTAGCATGTGAAAACGTTCCAAAATTATAAGATTCAGGAGCATACCTTAAAGTACAATTAATTATAATAGATTATTAAACACAATGTATTAGCTGTATCGATGATTATAAAAACCATTTTATGGGCCATTTTCCTCCTGCCGTAGCTTTGTAATAATCATTTGAGCCGAATGTTCTTGAAAGACCAAAGTCGCTTATTTTAGCTTGATGTCTCGAAGTTAGCAAAATATTTCGCGCAGCCAAGTCTCGATGAACAAGTCTTATCTCTTCTAAATACTTCATACCTGTTCAACACATTTCAAATCGTTCGCATAATGTTATACATGAAATTCTCAAATAATTATGTGCTCTTACCACAAGCAATTTGTGAAGCCCAAATTTTAAGCTCGTAATTTGGACTTATTCTGTCTGGAAATTCTAAAAGGTATGCTAACATAGAGCCAAGTGATACTAACTCTTGTACCTAAAAAATGGAGAATATTTTTGCAAATAGTTGGAAAATAATATTTATATGTATATTCTGTTTGTATATGCCAATACCATTAACAATGGTGGACCTTCCGAGAATCCAATTAATTTAACAATACAATGATGATTAAATGTCATCATTAAACGCGCTTCTCTTAAAAATTCTTCACGAGTAGCAGCATTGTGTGTGTCGTGTAACATTTTTATCGCTACAGGCTCTTGAGTACCGGATGGTGAATCATAAAGTCCTTCGTAGACGGCTCCAAACTCTCCTTCACCTAATACTTCTCCAAGAATTATATTTTCCCCCGGTATGAATACTAATAAAAATACATTGTTCTTTGTAATACTATTTCAATTTAACAATCCTTTAAGATGTTAATGGAAGGTGCTTGTATCGTGTCGATGCTTACCTTGTTTTGTGGGTACCGAGTCATTGTCGTTTTCAACAATTGCAGGCACAGCGCTGTGTAAATCATTATCATTCATATGATTGTTAACAGAATTATTATCTATTTTATTTGAACTGCTTGGATGTAGATATGGCATTTCCAACGGATCAGAAAAATTTTTGGAATTTGAATTTTTCTTTTTCCTAAGGGTATCCTTTTAGAATAAGGTAAATTATCATTACTTTGTCATTTAATAAAATCTCTATTTACAAATATATCAAATGCTTACGCCATTAAATATAGATGGGGGCATTTCAGGAATCGGTGGCTTAGGTACAGGTACTATTGGATGAATTAATGGTCCTGGAAGTCCATCCGGCATACATCGATAATGCTCTATCACATGTTCTAACGAAGGAAGGTATGGTCCATTATCGATAAATAAAAAATTTCTCTACATTCATAAATATAGTTGACAAATTAGTAAATTATAAAACTCATACGACAACTTATTTAAATATTTCCAATAATAATATACCCGCTTTTGTATTTGGAAATGATAGGTTTGCTTATTGTACATGACAGTGAGCACGCGAATCCCATCGTGTCTTTCACTAAGGCGAACTAAAAACGATCCATCCAGATCCCCATTTTTATGCAAAAGATTAATTGCCTCCATTCTATCCAACGTCCCATGGTACCAATTACTTAATTTTTCCTTCGTTGATTTACTATAATTACCTATAATATATTTTTAAAACCAACACAATTAGGAGTGAAATTAACACAATTATTTTTTTATTGAAATTAGAATTATCTTACGTAGAATTCGTTCGCACTCCAAATGGCCGTTTCGTTTTGCACAGTCGGCTGGCACATCGTCGAATAATGATCGAGGGTTTGAAGGTGCGTTTGCAGAGAGTAATATTTCAATTACCTCCTGATGACCTTTAGTTGCTGCTATATGTAACGGCACCATTCCTGATGGAAAGCAATCACTTGTATAATAATTATACTGTGTAATGAAAATAGAAATAAAAATAAAATTTTAAATACAAACAACAACGAGGGGAGCTATTTACCTGTTTCTGTATGGCGAGCTTGAATATTGGCACCTCCGGCAATTAATATTTCAACTGTATTTGGAAGATTACTTTGGCAAGCATACTAAATGTCACGAATTAAATTATATAAACGATATATTAAAAACTTATGAGAATACATTTGCATTCAGACATAGACTTTTGCAAAGAATAAGACTAATTTTGCACAAAAAGATTTGACTTAATAATGAAAAATATAGCGCTACTCATTCGATTAATTCTAAAAGCAGTTTAACGTCGTTTAAATTTAGTTACTAATTTTACCTGCTACACAATTATCCTCTTATTTTAAGCTTATTTAGAAAAACAGAAATTTATTTATATTTAATAGAATTGTACTTATTGTATTATAGTTTATGTAAATAAGCTTACGTGCAAGGGTGTATATCCTGCCGTATCTCTACAATTAACACTGGCGTTACTTTGAATAAGCTTATTTAAAATTTCATCCGCGCCGCCTTTAGCAGCCAGATGCACCGCTGTTTGACCGGCCTCGTCCTTAGCATCTAAACTTCTGTAACCACATTTCAATAATTCTGACACTATTGTATAATTTCTCTGAAAGTTGTTAATCAATTAGATTAACACAATTAATACAATTAAGTCGTTTATAAAACATTTATAAAAGCATTATCTACTTGAATCGTAGCTCTGTGCAATAAATTCATCCTTCCGTGTCTTCTTGTGTCATGCGGTGGCTGTAAGCCTTTACAAGGTTTTCTTAATTTTGAAACGAGTCCACGATTTTCCTCCTGGTAATATTCGATAAGCGTGTCTAAACCATGTATAGTGGTTTCATCATCTAAATGCAAATAATTAATTATAAATTATAATTCACCAATACTAGTGTAAGTATTAATAATAATAAATTCTTTCATGGATCGATCAATTTGTCATATTATGAATTATCACATTCGAATGAAATATCTACCTATAGAAAAAAATGCATCTTCCCCGTGTTTTCGAATTTGATAATGCACAACTTCATCGTCATACAATACCGAAAGAACATAATCACCCAGGGAAGAGCCGCTTTCTCTTACAAGGAAAGTGCCATATTCTTTACCATCTAAAAGCACAATTATTAATTAATCAACCAGTCAGCTGAAATTGCAGCTTTCTAAATTTTATAAAACATTTCCAAAGGTATCGCTGACCTTCTTGAAGCAATTTTTCTGCATCCTCCCTTGACATATTTCCATGATACCAACACACATCATCCTCGGTGCCCATAATGCAAAACAATAATCTATTTATTTACGCAATCATAAGCATCAAACTGTGGAGCGACTCCAAAAATTATTATTAAATTCTATGGCAATTCACGATTTTCTCTTCGAAATCATTTTCAAATTCTATTACATGCCTATTGTTTCTGGACCATTTGTCATCGCTGTTAACAATTATCTACTGCCCCATACTCGCATACAAGTGCATTGTTTGTCAGGTATGCGTAAACAGATGACGATTGTGAGATTGTAAAAATTGTAAATTTGTACGTGCACGCGCACGCGCATAAGCTGCACAATAAAAGCAGAAAGTTGTACACAAAGCGATTCCGTAAACATGAAAGAAAGCACGAAAGTATCTCGCAGATAATAGATATTGTAGATGTCAATGTAAAGATGAATAGATATATTACTTTTGTATTAAGAAGCCATTAGAATTATAGAATATTCTCGCAAACTATTTATTAGCGATATGCTAATGTTTTTCGCTAATTAGTAAAGCACTTGCTTCATAGGAGATAAAATAATTTTTGATTTTGTTCATAAGCCATTTAGGAAGGAATTTGGACAATTAGTCGAATACGAAAAGAAGTAATTATCAACACAATGGGTATATTGGTGGTTTTTTTTTTGTTTTGTTTTGTTTTGTTTTTGTTTATAATTATATATTAATTATTTAACGTATATAAGCCTACGTAGGATTGGTTGCATCAACAATATAATTAATCCAGTCAATGTGCGTTTTAAGAAATTTAATCAATAACGTTGGACTTCTTTTCTTACAAATGTTTCTAAAATAGCATTTTAAGTTAATTAGAAACTACTATTTTCTTAAAGATCCTCGATATCAATAAAATGCAGTTGTAGCTAGCTTAAATATCAATTAAATATCGGAGAAATGAAACAAAAACAAAAAATATACATAAATAAATAAATAATTTTTTATTACAAAATGTTTAGAAATATAAGTACAGTTGATTCGATACGATATTTATTAAATATTTACTTTAGGCCATAATTCATATTTGCCAATCATCGCATCACATATTTCTATAAATATTTAATTCTAAAGTCTCAAATCCTTAATTATTATTCAAAAAGAATTTATTTTGTACTTCTTAATGGTATTTATTATTTTAACATAAATTATTATACATAGTAAACAAATATTGTGCAAATGTAAGAAAAAATTTATTTCAATAATTCAAGTAACAAGACCATTTTATTCGTTCTTCTTATTAGAAATTTATTATTTTTGATAAAAGAAAGAATTCATTTTACAACAAATATAAAACGACAAATCAATAACTAAAATGTAAGTTTATTTTACAAATGATTTTCCCAAGATATATTGAACGAAAATCAAATAGTATGGGAAAAAGGATGTGTTAATTTCTATTGGTATATTTTTACTTTTTTTTTCTTTATAATCATTATTAACGACACAAGTAAAATTGTATGCGCTGCTGAAATTTTCGATGATACGAACGAAAAGATAAAATGAAGACAAGGCAATTCCATCTCAATTGAAGTACATTTATCGGAAGAGTATATTTATCAATATCAATTCAAACGAATGAATTTAATGAAGGGAAAAATTCAAGATTGATCAATGTAAGAACATAATTTGTTACGAAAACTTAATCATTGCTTATTGTTCAACTTGATAAATAGTTTTTACTGCACCTATTGGTTAATTGGTCTTTTTCAGTATTACTTCAATTACACTATAAGCTATAACCTAAAATTCAAAATTATAATATACCGGGGTTCCAGTCACTCGAACGAATTGTTATTTATTGTTTTGATATTAAGGGTTGACGATTATTTTTGAAATGAAAACATCGCCACATCAAACGTTAGTGAAAGCTGGTGATCGAGACGGGTGAGTATTTCTTATTAAAATTATAGATATACTATTATTTCTATATGTAAAAAAATATAATGGGTGTATGGATTTGAAATTTTTTCTTTTTTCATTTTATATTTATTAATTTACATTGAATTTTAATTACTGAATAATTATGCATATTATAAGAATTATAAGATGCATTTAAGATTTATAGATAAATTTCTTATAGTTTGAAAGAATTGTTAAGACGCAGATTAGTTGAATGTGGATGGAGGGATGAAGTGAAACTTATTTGTAAAGAAATCATTAAAGAAAATGGTCAAGACATAACGTACGATGCACTCTTAGCCATGGTAACGAGTAGAGCAAGAAGTAGAGTTCCAGACGTGGTAAAAAAGGAGCTTTTACAAAAGATAAAAAATCAATTGTTGGCACAGGAAGAAAAACTCAAATTGACGTGATATTTATATTATAAGTAATAATTTTTTTTTATACATACAATGAAATATGAAGTAAGCATTAATAATATTAATCAATGGTTAGATTTATAAATCAATGTTTATAAATGTTTGCATTTCTTATTTCAGACTAGAAAGTTCTTCAGGTACAAATAAAACAATTAATTATATAGAGGATAAAAATACTATTATAATTAATAAAAATTTTCTTGGTTTAGCGATTATAAAAGAATATATCTCTCAACTTGAAATGAAATCTATAAAAGATAATGCAATCAAGTTTATACAAAAATATAATCAATAGATAGATAGATACACTCTCTTAGCTCAGTATTAAATAATGATTCCTATAACACGTAAAACTATTAAATTGGAACAATATGAGACACTGTGAAATACATTAAAAATTTAATGTTAGTCAAATAAAGTACTATATTAAAATAAAAAATATATTTCTTAAATATTCTATATTGTTTGATTAATTTTACTTTTCACTACTACCTTAATATAATAGTTTTTAAAGAATAAATTGAATTTTATAAATTTATAAATTATTTGTGAAAAATCTTTATTTTTACCATGTAAATAAAATAAAATTTTAATCTATTCTAGCAATTGGCCTTATCAATACTGTATTATTTTTATAAAACTGTACTTGGAAAAGTATTGCCAAATCTATTAGAATTTGAAGTCCTCCACACAATTCAAATTGGACTGGTGCATTTTGTTGTATAAAATACAAAGTTTTAAATATATCTCCTATGGTCCACATCATTACCATTGCAATACTATAATACAATGAACAGTGCTCTTATTTTGATTCGGTATAAGGTCTTTGTTACATTATTCTACATTTTACATTTTACTATACCTCATTCCTTCCGTTGATTTATTAGAAAAATTTCTAATAAATTGTGGTAGCCCTAGCATCGCTTCCGTTAATAAAGCAAATAGTCCAATTAATTCTACGAATATTGGAACATCTATCAAAAGATACATCATCACAGCTCCAGCAAATGCAAAAAGCAGCATGAAATCTACATATGATTGAAAATCTGTCCACTTCCAAAAGAATTTTGATTCGAAATCTATTTAAATTCATTGAAAAGAAAACGCATACAAGTATTTAAATAAGTAGTATATTAAAATAGAGGAAATAGAACATTGAACATCCAAAGATTATATATTTATATATGTGTGTGTGTGTGTGTGTGTGTGTGTGCGCGCGCGCGCGCGCGTGTGTGTGTGAAATATATACCTGTAAATATGCGATCCTTTTGTTTTATCAGTTGATGCTTATTCTTTATGTTAATACAAATTCTGATCATGAAAAGCATAGTGGCTATCATGAGAATACTTTGAATTAATAGTGGCAATTCAAAGTGTCTTCCAAACCTTAGAAAATATTGTCATTATAATATTATGGTATTAAAGTTTATTCATTTAAATGAAAAAGATATAATACCAGAAGAGTATACGCAAAGTGTTTGCAATTAGCAATGTAAGACAAACGTATAGTGAAAAACCTTCGATATCCTCTTTTTGTTTTATTTTTTTATATTGTGGAACGAATGGTATAATGCCTCCAAAAACCATAGCTGCAGAGGCTATCCATCCGGCAACATTTTTAATCGTCAATTCCTCATAAGTCTCCAACATGTTGAATATAAAAGTGAACTATAGCGGCATCAAAAGTGATTGACAATTTTTTTTACTTAACTATAGTTAAATAAAATCAAAGTAATCTTTATGAGTTATGATATATATTAAATTGTATCACACATAACGCATATTTTAACTCTCAATTCATAATTGTCTTAAATTTTTTACAGCTAAACTATCACTTTATCAATCCCCGCATAGAATCAATGAACTTACTTTGTTCTCCCAGACTCATTATACATAAATAATTTTTAGCTTTATTTTTAACTTTTGCCGTTTCATTGGTATCCATTGTTTGTGCTCTTGATACATTATAAATATTTTATAGATTTGGCTTACATCGTAACCGAAGAATATTGTATAATTGTCACTCTACTTCCAAATTATGATACTTGCAAATTTGGTTTAATATACTGTCAGCTGATTAAAATCTGTTTTATGGCCCGAGTCAGTGATGTCGTGTGAAACTTATTTAGTACTCAGTCAGTAATGGTACGTGTAGATTTTCTCTTCGTCGACCAAAACATTGTTCGTTGTTCAAAAATATTGTTCACGCAAACATATTTATTTTCATCTTGAAGATATTTTTGATTCGAAAGAGTTTTAAGTAAGTAAATTAATTTCTCATACTATATACGTACGCAAATCTTTTAAGCTGATAAATCGTAATAACACAATACAAGGCACTTTATTAATTTTTTTTTTTTTTTTATAAAAATTGTCATATTTTTTACGTAGTATGTCAAACAAATTTTGAATTTTTTATTTTTTAAGCGAATGCCGATGAAGAACAAGTCTCTATTCTAAAATATATTTATATGTACTTGATTATAGTGGCGTTGTAATGTATAAAAAAAAAAAAAGCTTCACCAACTATAAATAATAAAATAGCCGCGAAAAAATGTAGTTTTTACTCTTGATTAGTAGCTCTCGATTCCATAACAATGAAAAGCAATATTGAAACGAAACTGACATAATATTTATCATAATATCATCATAACACTATACTAAATAATAGTACTAATATTATTCATTATATTATCGTTAATGTATTAGTTTTTCGCGTTGGATGGTGAACAAAAACTCTTTGTTGCAACTATAAAAATCTGTCGTTGCTTTTTCACGATTGTAATTATTTTTTTTATAAATTCTTACGTAAATACGTAAAGTATTATATCAAATAGAATACATTATGAATATATCTATTAAATTTAATCAATACACTTTCAATAAATATATTAAAAATCGAATCATCTTAGTAATTGGAAGAACTAATCGAATGAATGGAGAGATAAAAAAATTTATTGTAACGTTAATTATTTAAGAGCCATTTCAGGAACAGCTGATGCTGATTGTATTTGGTAAATTATAAAAACTTGATATTATTAGCTGAATAGATCAATAATTGATTTAATATAATAATTCAATCTAATAATTTCGAAATTTTCATACAATTCGTTAATTGATTGAAACTAATGCATACTGTATTATTATAATTTCTATACTATTGTACATACCGTACCATTATATAAATAATAAAAAAAAAATATATATATATATATATATATATATATATATATATATATATATATAAATGTAATTTTCCAGTTTCACTTGAAATTTTCAAATTAAAACTACATAGATAATTTACAATTCTAAAAAAAACTTTTTAGAATAGAATAGAACTTTTTTTCATAGCGTTAACCAGGTTTCATGATTAATCGTAGATTAAATTATAAAATTTATTGTAAGATATTAAATTTTAAAATGGCTTGTAATAATCAATAATATATTGAATATGATTAACATTATTTTTTCCTAAAATCTCAAATTTAGAAATATTATACAAATCCAAGAATTTGTTCTATTTAGATAACAATCGATATAATTTATTTATTATATGTAAACAATAATAATTTAGTATTAAGTTAACCAAAGTTTTAATTAATAAATTAATTTAAATATATTTTTATGCATTAAATAATATTATTTTTTAATAATATTTCTGTTATTTTAAAAAAGTTATTGTAACATAATAATAATATGTAGAAGAAATATAAATACAGAATAGCTTGGATCGAATTAACAAAGTATTTATTCAATTAGTTTATTATATGGGCATGTTTCAATGAATTTTGACAAACAAGTGGAATATCTAATCTATTTGTTAAAAAATCAACAACAAAAAACAATATTAAATACTTTTTTCAGTGTAAAAATATTCAAAATAATTTCATACGTATGTTTTAACCATTACTTCTTTATTCAAGTAATACTTATTATTGAAATTGTTATCTATTAATAGATATTTTAAAATCATATATTTGATTAATCAATAATCTTGTTTCTCAATCAATATTTAGATATTTCAATTATAATTATTACCAACATATTGCTTGTTTATGCTTTATTTCTTATGACTAATAATTTATAATAACTGTAAGATGCCATTATAATTTGTTGAATAATTCTTACCAATATTCTGCATCTCTATGTATATATAAATATATATATATTTATATATATATATATATATATATATAAATATATATATATTTATATATATATATATATATATACATAAATAAATTCATAAAAAAAAAATTAGAAATATATCTATTACACCTTCGGATTTTCATGCAAAATTCTAATAATTTATTACATAATTATTAAGAAGTGTACAATAGAAATTGCCAAATTATTATTTTATCTATATACAGCTCGAAGAACTGATAATAATGAAAATGCCGTTTTTAAGATCTGAAAATAAATAATTTATTTAAATATTTCTGGATTTATTTTCATTTAGATCATTTTTTAGAGTATAAAAATTTACAATAATTATCATTTTATAGTATTACAAATATTTTCAAGATTTAACAATTATGGTTTCAATAATATAAGTGAACATTACAAATTCATGCTAACGGTTGAATAGAGTAAGAGAATATAAAATATTTGTTTATAAATTCAATTAAGAAAAATCTTTTACAAATGTCAACTATTATCGAATGTGTAATAATTTATAATAATCAGTAAATATTGTGAGTTTAAATTTTAATAAAAATTTATATTTTTCATAATAGAAGCTTGAATTTTTTAAATTGATTTCTACAAAATATCATATTATATACTATATAATCAAATATTCTTTACATCATTTCATTAATATCATTAAGAATATTAATTATCAAATTTTATTTTATATTAATGATATAATAATTGTTTATTATTATAAAATTAATAATACAAAATTTAAGAAATTTAAAATATGAAATAAATTTGTATATCGATAAGTATAAGAATTTAAAGGTAAGAATACTTTTTATTATAAAAATTGATCTAAACATATATATATTTAAACTATTATTAAACGCTTTATTAAATAATATTCACGTTTCACCGATATAATAATGCATCAGTGAAATATAGTATAGTATAGTATTATATAAGAGCGAAATGGAAGATATGCCTTCCTAATAGCTAAAATTAGAATTTCATGTAAATAGGATTATGGTATTAGATATAAGTGAACAAGATATTTCCATCATTATTATTTGGAAAAGTACTATAATCTATACATCGTAAATGAATTTTTGAAAATAAGGCTTTATACGCTGTATAACGATCATTTACTCACTAAAAAAAAATTCGCGTAGGGGGCATATTTTTATATTCAAACAATAAAATTAAAATGTAAATATTATTTGATAAACTAAAAATTTTAATAAGTTTATAGTTGTGTTACGATGCAGGAAGTACATAAAGTACAACGTACTTCTTCTAACAAATTTTTTTGGAAAAAATATCAATTTGTTGAAACTATTTTGCAATAAAATTAAATATTTATATTTATCATAAAACCTTTTAAATTTGCCTCATAAGTCAATTTCATTTATTTTTAATAACAAACTACATTATGATTAGAAATAAATTAATTTACTAAATTTACTAAAATGAAAAGTTATAATTTAATTTTTAATGACTTATGTGAAACTGCATTAGGAAGACTAAATACATAATGCAATTTATTATACTTCAAAATTTTTGTTTATAATATATATTATGACAGAAGTTGTTTCAATAGATTTTTCTGCTCTGCAATAAAATTGATGCGTGAAATTATGATTTTTTTTTTAATAAAATTCAATTTATAATAGTCATTATGTTCAAATATCACATATATGATTAGAATTTTTTTTTTTATAATATCTATTATTTATCTTCATATTATTAAAACAATATTTTATTGTTTCAACATTATGTGAATATATAATTAACTAATTTTTACTTTAAACTAATATTATCGAAAAATATATTTTAATATTTAATATTAGGATTAATACTAAACATTTAATACTTAAAATAAATATCATTTTTTATATTTGTATTAAAATTGTAATAATTATTTATCTTATTTCAATTTTAATTCAAAACGATCTTGCTTCATCGATTATAAGCGTGAAATGGAAAATTTTTATAGAGGTTTAATTGTGTAAATTTATGTAATATTTTTCATATTCACTTTGAACGGAAGAAACCAATGTTTATATATATATATATATATATATATATATATATATATATATATATATATAATTATTTTTATATTAATTAATTTTATACCATTAATTTATATAATTAATTTTTTAATCTTTATTCAATATTGTGAATAAAAGTTATGTATATTAGAGAATATTAGAGAATATTAAAATATTACCTGAACGAAATTTTTTATGGAAAATTTAAATATATATCCAGCACTTATTATTAATGGAATTTGTGATTTTAAGATTAAGAACGATAACATTTTGATTTCCTTCATCTTGCTATTATTGTACCAAATACAATTGTACAGCATATCAATGATCGAATCGCCCTTAAAATATACGAAATATATATATATATATATATATATACATATATATATATATATCAATTGATTAACTTCAAATAATATATTAAAATAATTTCAAAATAATTAATGAATATTCTCTAAAACTGAAAGTAAATATTTGTAAATACTTCGTTGCAAAGCTGTTGTCCGGTGATGCAAAGTGATAAAGCTTGTATAGTAAGTATAATGATAGTAATTACACATTTCATTATATATACTGGATATGTTGTTGCCTGAAATGATTTTTAAAATATTTCACTTTATATTTGAGGAGTTTGCATATTATATATTATTTTAACCGTAGTTTACTATAATTATTGTAAAGCCTGATACGCCGATGGCAATATGACTGAATCCAAATCGAAATAGTCCAATCAAATTATAAATATCGTCAATTTGTTGAACTAGTTTCAAAATATGCTGGTGTTCTTTTATAATAAGTTTCAAAATTGTTGATGTAACATTATTGTTTATTTCACGCTCTTTAATAACATTGTTAGAATATTGTTTTATGTAAAATTTTAGGCGATTGATACGAACTGAAACATACGAAGTCTAATAAAAATATCAAAAAGAATATAATACATCAAGTGACAGATAGACGTAGATATAATGTGAATATAAATTAATCTTTCTTACATAAGCAACGAGAAGAGCTTTTATTAATAAATCGAGAATGATCAACGTTGTGAATTGAAGTATTTGGATTAAGAAAATAATTTCAAAAAATGGAGAAAGACGATAGTTAAATGAATAATGCAAGTCATACATTAAATATCTGTCTTCAACATGTGCATTTAGATATAACGATAAAGTATTTATAATATAAATAAGTTCAGCGGAACAATATACAATTATATCAGCAATACAATAAATCCTGAAATTTTTAACAATATTTTCATAATCCTCGGATCTTTCATTTCTTTTCCAATATTCAATTATTTCTTGTACTAATTCTTTGATCCTTCTAATAAAATATAACTACATTAATGTGTGAGTTTTTAATTATAATGCTAAATATTATTATACGATATATTTATGTCTACAATAAATCATTATAAATTATAGCTTCTCCTATTGGGTCTCATATAAACATCTCATGAATTAGTTAGTATATTACCGATTTTTTTATATATAAATATTGTAATAATTATTATTAATATTTGTAATTTGTAATTTGTGTCGTAAACGAGTGTGAAAAATTGTATAATATATTAACAAGTTGAAAATTGAAAAATACAGTTAATTTAACTCTCGACAGATTTAATTTTGTAAGCGGATACCGAATTGTATATCACTGATACGATTAAATATTGTCTTTTTATAAATTTATAATATATTAAAAAATAAATATTAATATCAAATCAAATTGTACACACGAACTTTATATTTTATGAATTATTTTTAAAGTTATACTATTTGATATTGTAAGCTCGGTGTATTTAGGCATTACTACAAGTATTTTTTTTTCTTCTTAATTTCAATTATAATCCTACACTTTTATATATTTCCATTAATATAATATTCACGATGAAATCGTATATATTTATTAAGGAACCATTTTTTTTTTTTTTTTTTTTTTTTTTTTTTATTATTATTTTAAACATTTTATTCTTTTGTTATGAGGATCATTCGTTAAATTTATTCTTTTTCTACTATCTTTCATTTATTAATAAAAAAAAATGTTAGACAATTGTATAAAGCTAAATAATTATGATATTATTGTAAATATTTAAAATATTTATTATTTCATGTGAATTTTTCAAATAATTTTCTGCTAATTAATTTGTATAATAATTTGTATAATTCACATGATTGATTGTTAATTAGAGAACAGATGCAGTAACAGACTAGTTAACTTAATATTAAAAATACTATTTAAATTAACATTTACATTTATTATTTGAAAAATCGCAAATTTCTTTCAACTATTTATGAGCTTGATTAATATGTTACAAATTAAGCTTTACCTTCTATTCATCCACATTATTGAGAATTCTATATAAACTAATGTTTGCCCAATAATACTAGTTAGATTCATCATAAAATATGATGTATTATCTCTTGATGTACATACTTTCCACAATTGAAAAGGTAATGTTGTTATTAAATGTGATAAAAGTATAAATAGAAAGGTCGAACTAAATTTCGACGGCAGTAAACCGCTAATTTTTAAAAGAAACATTAGATATGTATTTATTAGTAAGCCCATGACAAATTGTTGCACAAAGAAATCTACTTTTTTATTTTCGAATTTCAATGTTAAAAAAGAGAAGACAATCGTATTATTTAAAATTATAACACGATGACTAATATTATTATGACTATTACTATTAATGTCAAGTTTTGTATGAGCTTTTGCTTGAATTTAATAACTGTTTTCTTATATCATCTTCTTTCTATTCCATGGCCAATAAAGTGAGATCTTTTGTTTTGATCAAGTTCCCAGGGTGATTTTAATATTTTAACGCTGATTAAAAAATAAAGTAATGGGCTGGTATTTATAATCTCGAATAAATGCTTCTTTTTTTTTTACCGGTTATTGCAATATTTATGTTTCTAGTCGTACTTAAAAGCCAACGAAGCGCTTTTACTTACTTAATTTATTATTTATGTCTGCTGCGCGATTAGTTATAATTCAAAGAATTATATGAGTAGTTAGTTATTGATGTAATGAAACATTAATCTTCGACGATAATATACAGAAATATAATAATATGGTGTTATTTGGCATTCAAGTTTCTCAAGAAGCTCCAAGCAGAAACATTTTAATTGAAATAACAGAATATGTTCATTAAAAGTATATTATTATTTTTTTCGTATAAGTGTATAGGACGATTATTATGTTACTAATATTATATGATGTTAATTAAGTTATTAAATCTTTTAATTAATTTCACGAACAAATTATAAATCTGTTTGGAGAAGTATTAATTATTTAATTACATAATACATATTTATATATTTTCTATTCGTTTTATATTATTTGATACTATTCACCATGTATTTATGATCATTTGATGTTAATATATTAGATCTTATATTAAATGTATTTTTAATTTATATTTATTATAAAAGAAACTCACTTTATATTGATTATTATACATTGTAAAAAGAATTTGACAAAAATTATAGTTTGAAAACAAAAATCACGTACATTCACATATATTTTTAGTAATGTCTGGAATTAACTAAATAAACTTCTGAAATTTAATAGTATTAATATCGTGAAGATGAATATTAAAAAAAAAAACAAATTATTTTCATTACAATTTTATTTATAATATTAATTACAACATTTATTCATTAGGAAGTATTTTATATTAAAAATGAATTTATATGATTAATTATACGTTTATAAATAAATTTGTATAACTATTTTATAATGATATTCTGGATTCTAGAATCTAAATCTATATTCAAATTAATTGGAAATATTCCATGAATGTTTTTTACACAGTGATTTATGTATGGTCTCGCTCTCTCTCTCTCTCTCTCTCTCTCTCTCTCTCTCTCTCTCTCTCTGCGTGTGTGTGCGTGTGTATATTTTTAAAAGTAAAAAATAATTTCTAAAAATGTTTGTATTTAGGTATGCAAAAAATACAAAAAATTATGTAGAATCAGTAATGTATTAACTTTATTTAATTTTCCAAACTAAAATTCTATATATTCTGTTGAGCAATATGCAGTGGAAATATTAAAGAGTATTATTTTTAGATATTTGAGTAATAAAGAGTTTTACTTACTATCGACATTGAACAGGATTTAACTTAGTCAAGTTATTTACAATATTCTAATAAATATGTAATACTATTATGTAATATTTAATATTCTTAAAATTCAAGTTCGTTTAGAAACCATAAACTGTTAAAAGATTTACACGATGAAATTTTCATTAAATATTAATTAATTAAAATAATCAGAAATCTCCTTGGGATTTTTTTGTTTTTTATAAAAACTAATACAATTGACCCCTCAAATTGAATCGTTTTATTAAAACGTCATTTTGATGGTTGAATTGTAATAATATTTTAGATATAAAAACTCTCATAGGAATAACACGATAAATTTTATTTTATTAAATACGTAAATATTAAATTAAAAAATCCTAATAACGATGAATATACATTAAAAACATCAATATCGCACATTTGTACTGCTCTTGCACAATTTTATCCATATTTATATAAGAAAATGGAAGTTTTTAATTAGTGCATCACATATAACATTGTATTATTTTCTAATATACAGAGTACAATTGAATAATCGACATAATATATATTCTATTGACTATTAAAAATCATAAGTATATATTGTAATGTTTATGAGACTTTTTGTGTTAAGTGTATATAAAAAAAAAAAAAATAAGAAAAAGATCGAGAATATTGTATCCTTGAAATTTCATCGTTACAACATGATGTACCAGAAAATGATGCCATTTTCATAAAATGTCTTGTGCGCTTATAAAGGAGATTGCCAATAAACCAGTGACGAAGACAACCATAATTGCAATACTTTTAAAGCCCATGTATACGCGTAGGAAGCCCATAGAAGACCGAGAAGAAGAGAATATGGAAGAGAAAGGCATTTATGTAAATAAATCTGTAGAAATATATATATATATATATATATATATATAACGAATTGGCTTGCAATCTCATTTATCTTACTTTTTTATTTAATACTCTAACTAAACGAACAATGAATTAATATCATTGTGTTCAAATATGAATATTTCATTAAAAAATGAAGATTTTCACGTCCCTTCTAATGCTATTATCCACAATGTCTTCTCATTAATGATCATCTATTAAAAATTTTCATTATAAAGCAAAGAATTTTCCTTCTTTTTTTTATTCATTATTGCAATAATGAAAATTGATCGTAAACATACATGAATGAAATAATCTTCGTTCTTAATTACGGTTTTATTGCTTCAAGCAGCTTAAGATTAATCTCCGCTAGGTTCGTTGCAGTCGAAATTGATCGTATTTTAATATTGTGTTGGTAGTCACTTTTTTCAACTTTAATAATGCTGTAATTAACGTTAATAATATGTTTATTTTGTCAACACTACATTTTAATTTTTGATTTTTATAATCGATAAGCTTTCGTTTAGTAAACATTTTTATTTACCATAATTTTCTGCTATATACTAGTCGATATATATTAGCTTATTTTTGTATTGAGTGAAATTATCATTTTAATAGGAATACATCATTATTTACTAATAATATTTTTCATAGAATGGCAATGTCAAGAGCACTTACAAATATTATTCGTCAGAGGCACCTGTTTCCCTATACCATGCCAATGATTTCATCAAAGGCTATTGTATATTTTCCATTTTCTACGTCTTCGCATCTCATGTACTTAAGTAAAAAGTCTCTAACTAAGTCCAATAAAAGCGAATCCGGTAATCAATTACAAGTTGACTACATAGAAGTAGGTAAATTCATATTTTATGCTTTTTTTTTTTTAAATCGATTGTTTTACAATTATTTCTCTGATTTTATTATAATTTTCCAGTAAAAAAAAAGACAAGTCTTGCTTGGCACCTAAGTATTTTTGTGATTGGACTAAGTAGTACCGCTGTTATAATATATTATGTCTTTCAAGAATTATTTTCTAGTACCAGCCCAAATTACGTTTATAGTAAAGCAGTCGATGAAGTTATAAGCGATTCCCGTATTATCCATGCTTTGGGATCGCCAATTAAAGCTCACGGAGAAGAAACTGCAAAAAGACGACGAGGTCACGTTAAGTAAGATTTCAATATTTTAATAATGTTATATAAATTAAACATACTGTATTAATATTTAAAATTATCGTTTAAGGAATCTCGTTTACTTAAGAAATGGAGTTGAACATATGAAAATGAAATTTTACATTCAAGGAAGTTATAGAAAAGCCGATGTACACCTAGAAGTACGCAAGGTAGGTTATTTAAAATTATTTTAAAAATATGATTCTATGTTGGTATAATTACAATAAAAATTATCGTACAGAATTCTCAAGGACATTGGAATTATAGATATTTATTTGTTGAATTGAAAAACAGACCAAAATCTGTAATTGTGTTGCAAGATAATCGAGATACCGATAATAAAGAATATAACGATTCAAAAGATTCCGAAGAACTCATGCCACCGAACTTGAGGGATAGATTAATCGAATAAAAATTTTTATTTCTCACAGTATATCTGTAAAGCTTATATATTTTCAATTAAGGCTCAAACAATTGGTAACAATTTCTATTAATTTTCAAAAATAATAATGAAATAATTACTTCACATTGATATTATTACTAATTGTTTGTAAACAATTTTAGCTTTAGCATATGTATGTTATGAATTTAAGTAATTTGTCTTATATAAATAATTTAATGGTGTGTACGCCAATTCAAATTATACATTGATTTTATAAATATTGAATCAAATAATTGAAAACAATGAAATAATTCTGAAAGAATTGTTTTTATTATAGAATTATTGAAAATAAAAAAACTTTTTAAATTGCATATAAATATTATTGTATTAAATTTTGGCTAAATCGTAATGATTATTATAGTCATTTGTAAAATTATTCACATAATATTATTCCAAATATTTGTAAGACGTGATTTGAGATTGATAATAGTCAAATGCTTATAAAACTTTGGTAGTTATGTAAAACTACCAAAGGTTTAAATCTATTTTTATATTATGAAAATCATAGTTCAAGAACAATTATTCGTATTTATTTAAAATTAGTTTAGTCCTATTATAAATTTAATATTTTCATTATCAATCATAAATAAATGGAAAATTTTTCTTATTATCTATTTACATTAATGACACATTGACTATTACATTTAACAGTTTTAAGGATTTATAATTTGATAATCTTATACGAAGTGAATTGACCTTGCATGACATATCACAATTGCTTGATTTGTTCAGACTTTAAGTATTAATAGAGAAGCAAAATTAAGGTAATTGTTAACAATAATAAGGTTAAGTGGTGTCAGATAATGTAGAAATTAATAGAATTAAACATTTTAAAAATAGATTGATATTTGATTCTTTTTATTTTTTATTTATTTAACAACAACAATTATATTATGAAATTTATTAATTTACTAAAACTGGCGTATATAATTAGTTTAAATATACAAGTGGCAGTGAACGTTCTAAAAATTTCTTTAAAGAATTGGCACGTAATTTATGTATAGAAAAAAAGTTATTTTACTTTTCAGTGGATTCAGTATAACTGTTGGAAAAAAATTAAAAAGAGAACGTTTTTACCAAAGTCTATCGTTACTTAAATGCATTAGAAATTTAAAGCATAATTTGTAGTTAAAGCATTGAGGTCTTTTGAATTATAGGAATAACACGTATTTTAAAAAACTTAATATATTCTTTATTAATTTACTGCATTAATGCTCAATTTTTTTGTGCAAATTCGGTCCTATCGATTATTAATTCGAATTTTCTATATTCTTTATTTTTTGAACTCTCACGTATCGCCAATAAATGTTTTGACGTACACTTTATTTTCCAATGAGTCATAATAGATGCTGAATTCGTATTTATTACTATTTTTTATTCCAGTCCAATGTAAACTCCGTCTCGGATTAGATTTTCTCTCAAACGGTTGTATTTATGATGATGGAATTTCCTTAATTACATTAGTACTTATGCTACACTTATTTGTGTGCTATAACGATTATAATGTAAACGAGAAAGATTTTGTAACCAATAATAATTAATTCATTTCAACAATAGAAAAATATACATAATAATTATAAAGATTAAACAAAAAATTAGCATTGTCATATATTACGAAGGCCTTTTTTAATTTAATAAAATAATAATATAATTACAAGTCTCAGTTAGAAAATATCTTGAAATGTTATAAACTATTTTTGTTTAAAAAAAATTAAAATGAATTTAACGTCTGCATTGTAGATTATAATTATTTTTATGTATCACATATAATAATATTTATTATAATAATGTAATTAAAATTAGTAATTTCATTATAAATTTTAATGAAAAACTACGAATGTGTAGAGTTAATACTATGTGTATTAATAAGCATTAGTTCGAAATTGAATAGATAAAAACAAGTGCATGTGAGAGGTAAATAAAGAGAGAGAGAGAGAGAGAGAGAGAGAGAGAGGACAGATTCGATGATGCTTATTATACATATATATGTATATCTGAGGACATATTGTACTGAAAAATTTGGCCTCCTTTCATTTTAGGTTACTCGATTCAACTTATATGATTGAAGATATCATTGCAGTAAGAGAGGTAAAAAATATGAATATATTTTCGTTTAACAAATATCATTGGATATGGTAAGCATACAAAATCCACAAATTTGATGTATGGTATGATTAGCAAAGAAAAAAGTGTAAGCCACAAGTAAAAAGTCGACTATTAAAATTCATACTATTATAGTTCATTATCGTGTTCTCTCTCTCTCTCTCTCTCTCTCTCTCTCCTTTCATAAATCTTTATCAAGTGTAGATATAGAGATGTGTAAAAGATAATCAAATATAAATTGTAAATTTAAAAGTGTTTATTTCATTGATATTATGACTTCTATTTCATTCGCCTCATAATTCGCTTGAATGTTTAATAGTCGCATGTTAGTGCGAAGAAAGAGATCGGCTATCGGCAATGTGTATGATTGTAGATGAATTTAGAGATAACGCTATTTAACAGGCAGATCTCATGCTACGCGAGACGAATACCAATGACATTTTGACATTTCTCTCGTTCGATAAACGTGGCGTCGTGAAATGCATAGACACAGCCGCTAGTAACATAGTTATTGACGTTTCAATAAATCGTGCATTCTAATGTGCAGTATATGATTATATAATACATGTATTAATGTTAGTAATTCGAATGGGCTTTCAAAACTATAATGTCTTTATAATTTACATATTTCAGTGCTCAAAATCCCTTCTCTATTTAAATGGTCTTAAATACTCTTTAAATACTCTTGTTATATATACATATAATTTATTTAGTTGAATAAAAGCCTTTTTTTTATGAAAAGCCGAGGCGTTAAGCTTTTGGTATAATCAAGTTCTCGAGGTCTTGGATTACAAAGGAAAGTGTTAAAAGCGATTAAAACATTCGCGCTTGTTAATTCGATTGATTAGCGCGCGTCTGTTTGTAGAGCTCACTCTCGCACCAAAAACATTTAACTTTTAAATATAATCGTGCACTTTTTTTTCCGATATTTTCATGAATTATTATCAAAATTTTGCTTGTTACAATTTGTCAATTGCTTTTCGTAAAATTCATTACGTTTATTCATAACGAATATGTAAACATTGCTATTATACAACACAACGACTGGTTTGAAATTATTTTAAACAATTCGTACCTTTAACGACCAACATACTCGAAACATTCATTAGGCATAGGTTCGCAACAGAAACGAGGCTCATTCATTTTATAAGCGAATACCGATTTACTATTTCTATAAATACGAGAATAATACCAACAGTCGCAACATCTATTATTATTGCTTCTATGTTTGTGATTGGTAAATGATGTAGGCCTCGTATTATGCTTTTAAAATGTAATTATCATCGCGTTTCGTGTCTTTAAATCCAAATGGAAAAGCATGAAAACAGCTAAGGCTCTAGATGCAGAATGAAAAACAATAAAACATAGAACAATAGGAAATGAGTTGATATTTCGTTAAGATGGCGTTACGTAAGGCCTCTAATTTTTATCATGTAAATGTCCATTTAAAGGTGCCGCGTGAAAAACCTCGGCGAGATAAGCGCGCGACGTAAGAGTAAGACGTAGATGAAGACGACGTGGAGGGAAGGAAAAGGCCCGATCGAGACTTGTCCATCCGGGGCCGATTAGGCGCGTAGGCCTCGTTCGTGGCTCTCCAATTTAAAAGTACGGAAAATAAAATGTTCACGTCGCGGCTCTCCCGCGTGCCCGGAGATCCGCGTCCGGCGTCGGCACGCGTAATCGTCGCCTCGGTTGCGCCGAATAAGTAACGCGTCGAGCCGATCGATCGGCGCTCTTCAGTCGCTCGGCTGTCGGCCGCTCGGCCACGCGGACATCGTGATAACCGGGAGCCTACCGGCTGCCCACCGGGACCCCCTGCTACAATGGGCAACGAGTGCTGCTGCTCGTGGTGTCAGCGTTTGTTCCGGCTGCTCTCGCCCTCCTCGACGCGGTCTACCCGCCGCGGGAATATCGTCACCGCGTGTAGGGGCTCCGAGTGCCTGCCCAAACCGCCCGAGCTGACTATTTATGGTGAGTTGACGCACCCGTGGGGGGGGGGGGGGGCGACCTCTGG